AACAACAACAATATAATGGACACCAGCCAAGAACTGTAAACAGAGCTGTGACATGATCATACGTCTGTGTCAGAGCAAAGAGGAGGTTGCAATGGACTCACTGATGCAAAAAGGGCATGAATTCAAGCATTGTGGACTATGGACTGAGAGGTGTAGAGCGGTCAGGGATAAGGAGGGCGAAATCAGCTGAAGATGCCAGAAACTGTGAGACAGGAAATGAGGGATCGAGATCTGTCAGGAGAATAAGATGCACCCGAGGGGACACCAATACCCCAAAATGGGACCCGGAAGCACACTCCTGTGAGATGGTCAGCAACAACTAGACACGTGTGTCTGGAAAATGCAGGCTAGGTTTAGGCTAATGATAGAGATTTGGGAGCAGAAAGATGCAGGTGAAACTTGAACTCACAGATGAAATAAAGACAGGGCTGAGGCAGTCCAACAGCGATGATGGGATAGGGAGGAACCCACAGAGAAGGCACAACAGCTCAGAGAGAGCCAAGCTAAATAGGAGAAAGTGGGTCACAGACACGAAGGGAAACATTTCAGGGGGAGTGTGGCAGACAGCATTAGCAGTAGTGCCAGGATCACGGAAGGAAGAACTGCAGCTTGGTACTGACTCGACAACAAAGAAGACATTTGGAAGCCTCAGTGGGAACCCAGAGAGGAGACGCAGAAGCCAGGAAGCAGATGGAAGAGAGAACAGGAAGTGAGAAGGAAGTCAGCAAGCACTGTTAATAAAAAGAAAATCAGGCAGCTCCTGTATTTTAAGTAAACAACAGGTATTCTGGAGACCCAAATCATATTCTACTACAATGCTAGAGGTTACTAATAATAATTAATAACAACAATAATAAATACATTTCAATTTCATTGCATGATTTTTTTTAAAGCACTCATTTATTATTATTCATTTACTATATAGGAATCATATGTCAGATATCTGCCAGGTATAGCTATGGAAGAGCCAGTACCTGCTCTTAAGTAGTTCATTTGTAACAAGCAGACATCACAGAAACACTTAAACTACTTCATTGGAATGCAGAGGGTACAGAGCAAATAGAGGCAGCCAAAGTGCCCGTCAACTGAAGAATGGATAAATAAACTGTGGTACATACACACAATGGAATATTATGCTACCTTGAAGAACAACAAGGAAGCTGTAAGATACCACATAACATGGATGAATCTTGAGGACACAAAAGGAGAAATACTGCATAGGACCACTATTGTAAAACACTAAGAAAAAGAACCCCTACAGAAGAGGGTGGGTGGATTCTTTCCTGGTTACCGGGATGTGAGGGGAGGGGAGGAAGGGGAATGTGGAGAACAGGGTAAGGAACAGACCCAGGATACTTTCGGTGCTGGGGAGGGGAGCAATACACAACAAGGGGGATGGGAAAACAATTAGGAAGGTTTGCATAGGCTAAGTGGGACAGAGATGAATAATGATGTATGCACAACCTTGGAATAACAGGGCACTGGGATACAGGGATTGAGACATGGTTGGAATGGGCAAAAGGGGGAAAATAATGTTAAGATGCTTGGCTGTCTTTTGAATCTTGGTTTCCCAGGCATAGCATTATAAAATAAGACACCTGAGGGGGAGAAAAAGGAATAGCCAGAAATATCACCACAAAAAGCTTGTAAGTCTGTCTTCTGCCTATAACTGATTGGAATACCTAAAATGGGGCTACAATGTGCCCAGTGAAGGAGGCTTCCTGTGGAAAAAGGAATAGCCAGAAATATCACCACAAAAAGCTTGTAAGTCTGTCTTCTGCCTATAACTGATTGGAATACCTAAAATGGGGCTACAACGTGCCAGTGAAGGAGGCTTCCTGTGGAGCCTCTGCAGTATATAAGACCATAGGTGGAATCTTGAACCCCATCCAGAATCTTCAGAGGTGGGAAATTTCCACTTGAAAGGACAAGCCGACCAGCCTGGAGCGGCTAGAAGAACGGAAGATACTTCTTGAAAGAAAGACTGACAAGAAAAATACAAAACAATATACGCTGTCCAACTGATTACTACAAGAACAAGCAAGTTGCTCACCCAGGAGACATCAAGGCAAGTGGTCGGGTCCCCCTCAGGGCAAATCCTCTTCCAAGACTAAGACTCAGTGGGAATACACACTCTGATTGGTGAACATGTTTGTCACCGATAAGGGGAAGTGAGGGAAAACAGCAATGAAGCTGCGAGCTAAGCCCTACAACGTTCAATAGACTCCTGTGGACCTGGCTGGAGACCTGGTTGGCCAGCAGTGTGGCAAGACCTGGGGACTCTTGGGCCCAGAGTCAGTGATATAGCCACAGAGGAGTGGAGAGTGAAGCATCCAGCTGATAAGAAGAGAGGGCATATGCATAAGAACACCCATACTTGCAGATAATACCCACTTGACCTGGCTTCAATGACTGAATGATCAGAGCTCAACTAGAAGAAGAAAGAAGAGGGAAAAAAAAGAGTAATCTGATGCAACTGGATGAACTTGACCTACACCTATGGATGCAGTAGCTCAAAAGAGGGAACAAATCTTTACAGCGAGGATCATTCCCACCCCTCCATGCACAGAGTAGATAGGGATGGGCAACTTGGACACTGGCTACCCAAAATGGGGGGTGGGGGGGTGGTTACCAAGGCAAGAAGTGACTGGCTTACAAGCTTTCAAGAGGGAGCCTAGATCCAGAGGGCGCAGAGAAAGGTAGACTCTCCACTGAGTAGTATCCAATCTGTCTTGTCGGGCTGATGAAAGGAAATGTGGATAGGTCTCTTATGATACAATAGTGAATAACTGTTATCAGGACTGATTGTGAGGGTTGGAAATGTAAAGGTGGACGTTTTGCAGCAAAAGGAGGGGAATGATTGACTTTGCAGTCTAGGAGAGGAGGTCCCTGGGACCATCAAAGGGAGAAGAGCGGAGAGTGAGACCCTACCCAAAGAAGCAGTGACGCCTGGAGATGGAGGCAGAGACGATGACATGGAGAGATGGAGCGGCTGGGGATTTTAGACTCAGAGAGGGAGAGGGGCTGTGTGCTGATGACCAGGGGGCAGGCTTGCGGGCTGTACCCTTTGGTTGGTTGATGATGCACGGAAGGGACTGTAACCATGGCAATGAAACGATATACAACAGGATGAATATAAAGTTAATGTTCTCCCATGTAAACTATCACATAATTCACAATAAAACATTTTAAAAAATTGCCCACACACCAAAAAAAAAAGAAAATCAGACTAGAATCTAAAACTCAGGAAGACCATCATTCAAAATGATTATGTAATAAAGACAATTTGAGACAAACAAGCTCAGAGAACTTTTGATGAGCAGACTATACCACAAAAAATGTTCAAGTGTGCTCTTTAAACAAGGAAAATGATGTAATAGGACAATGTGGATCTACACTAAAGAATGAAAAGCACTGAAACTTGAAAATAAGTGGATAAATAATGTAAAAGACATTTCTTCCTGATTTAAAAATTTTCCTGTAAAATATCGATTTCTTAAATGCACAATTTCAGAATACCTGGAATTCTTGCAATGTTCCACTCAAGTGAGAAGTAGTTAAAATGCTAATAATCACTTTGGGGGAAAAAAACAATGAAAAAACCTTCTCTTTTGAAGTTCTTAATATGAGCGTTATACTTCTTTTTGAAAACAGGTCAAAACTGAATAAATGCAATAGAAAAAGGAGTAATCTGAGATGAGCCTCAGAAGATGTTGTATCATTTATCAATTGAATGCTTCTCAGCTCTGAGCAGAAATTTTCAAAGGGCAGTTCGAGAAGATTAAGTCAAGTATTCTAACGACATGTGCAAAAATCTGGACTTTGAAAACCAAAAATGAAGAATGCACCTTAGCATTTCTTAAGCTGAAAGAACTGAAGAAAAATTTCAAGCCTCAGATGGCAATATTGAAGAATTCCACGAGCAAAATAGAGACTGATGAAAACGCACCAAAAGAAGATGGAAGAAATACACAGAATCACTATATCAAAAAGAAATGGAGACGTCCCGTCATTTTAAGAGATAGCATTTATCAAGAACCAGTGGTAACGAAGGAAGACGTCCCAGCCGCACTGAAGGCAATGGTGGAAACCACGGCTCCGGGAATTGACAGAATATAAATTGAAATCTTGCAACAAAACTGATAGAGTACTAGAGGTGTTCTCCTTTCTACGCCAAGAAATTTGGGAGACCAACCTTATTTGTGCACATTCCAAGGAAAGGTGACCCGAGGGAATTAAAAAATCATCAAACAATGTTATTAACATCACATGTAGCAAGTAAAATTCTGTTGAAGATAATTCAAAGATGTTTGTATCAACAGGGAGCTGCCAGAAACTCTCTGAATTCCAGAGACATGTAACAAGAGATATCATTGCTGATGTCGGATGGATCTTGGCTGAAAGCAGAGACTACCAAAAAGATGCTTACTTGTGCTTTCTGCAAAGACTTTTGACGTCATGGATCCTGACAAGCTATGAATAAAATTGCAAAGAATGGGTTTTCCAGAACACTTAATTGTGCTCATGAGCAACCTGAACACAGACCAAGAGGCACATATTCAAACAGAACTAGTAGTTACTGAATACTGAATGTTTTAAAATCAGGAAAAGTGCATCAGGGCTGTATTCTTTGACCATAGTTATTCAATATGTATGTTGAGCATACTTGCTGAAAGTGAAGAGGAGTTTAAAAACTTACTGATGAAGATCAGTGACTAGAGCTTTCAGTGTGGATTGCATCTCAATACAAAGAAAACGAAAATCCTCACAACTGGACCAAAAAATAACATCATGATAAATGGAGAAAAGACTGAAGTTGCTTGGATCCGCAATCAATACTCATGGAAACAGAAGCCAAGAAATCAAAAACCATATTACAATAGGCAAATCTGCTACAGAAGGCCTTTTTAAAGTGTTAAAGAGCAAAGATATCAGTTTGAAGACTAAGATGTACTAGACTATGGTATTTTCAATTACCTCATATGCAGATGAATATTATACTACGAATATGGTAAACCACTGAAGCGCTGATGAATTTCCATTATGGTGTTGGAGTAGCGTATTAAAAGTACCGTGAACTGCCAGGAGAACAACACATCTCTTGGAAGTAATACATACAGAATGCTCCTTTAAAGCCAAGATGGCAAGACTTCATCTCTCATTCTTAGGACATGTTATCAGTAGGGACCAGTCCCTGGAGAAGGCATCATGCTTAGCAAAATAGAGGGGTCAGCAAAAAAGAGGAAGACCCACAAAGAGATGGATTGGCAGAGTAGCTGCAACAATGAGATCAAACACAACAATAATTTCAGATTGATGGAGGGCCAAGCAGTACTTCATTCTGTTGTGCATATAGTCGCTATGTGTCTGATCCGACTTAATGGCTCCAAACGGACCATTTCAATATATACGCTTTTGACAAACAATTTGTTTATTGATTTCTCCTTTGAAGTGAGCATGATATATTAAGTACTCTCAATAGAGGGCAGTGGAGGGACGTTAGAGGAAGAATTGTTGTTAGGGCCTTCGAAACAGTCCTGACTCATACCAACCCTGTATAGGGTTTCTGAGGAGCAGCTGGTGAATCTGAACTGTCGACCTTGCTGTTCAAACTGACCTTGCGGTCCAGTGCATTATCCCACAGCACCACACCAGGGCTCTGGAGGAAGAACAGTACACCAGAATCTGCAGCAGTCAGAATCAGCGATATTGGTATGAGGACATCTGGTAGAGTACTGCCCATTCAAGCAAGAGCTCAGAATGCAGTTCCTCTGAGAACTTGCAGTCTTAGCCTACAGTGGCCTTATCACAGAAACCAGAGCCTTGCAATGGTCCAAGTACAACTCCCGTAGGCCGATAAGATCACAAGAAAACAGTGAGTCCGAGTTACGAAAGAGGGCAGAACTGGAATGGAAAGGAAAGGCTATCCTGAAATAGCCTGAAGAGGCAGCACCTACCTTTGAAAACATCTGAGACACATAACCTGAAAGGCTTGTCAACAGACCGCTGAGGTGGCTTGAAGGAATCTGGAAGAAAGTAGGAATTAATTGACAATGTAATTTTTGACTGTCTCATGATTCTCATTACATTTCTACTCCTCTGAGAAAATAATGTAATCTATATACAACAAAGCAAATAATTTATAAAAAATTGTGCTGCATTAAAATTAGAAAGATGTTACTACTTACCAATTTGTTCTAATAAGCATAATCCTTTATACCATTTTATGAGTTCACTCGATTGAGATCTTGCGATTAGATTTTCACCACTGAGACCACTCGTAGGAATAAATGCTACATCACTCTCCTATTTAAAAAGACTGAATGTATGAAACTTAATATAACTTAAAAAAAAAAGAAGTTAAAATGTTTACAATTACCATAACTGCATTTATCAATAGCAATGATGTACTTTTGAAAAGTGACAGAAATTACAGTACTATCCTAAAGCTATCTGATGTAATAATAACCAATTTTGATTTTGTGAGATATTTGCAAATTATTTTGAAAAGACACAAGCATTTTCAATTGGTGACAGAGGTTTTTGCTGGAAGAAATTTCTCTCTGCCAGTTCCCACTTTCCTCTGTGACGTCCTTACACATTTATCACCTAATTTAATGTTGTTGTTATTGTTATTAAGTGCCATCGAGTAGGTTCTGATTCACAGCGACCCTGCATAGGGTTTCCAAGGAGTGGCTGGTAGATTTGAACTGCCAACCTTGCCATTAGCAAGGCAGTGCCTATCCTATAACGCCACACCTAAAATAAACTTCCTACCTAACCTAACAGGTAGGGAAAAAAACTATAAATTATATTAAATCCAAGTCAACTTATAAAAACACATGCAATTATCTAAGGTAAGGTAACCCAAATAAAATAATATACATGTGCAGCCAGGGAGAAATGAAAGTAAAAATTTAATAAGACAAGAATATAATTGTTCTTCCTCCCATATACAAGGGGGCTTCAAAAAGTTCATGGAAAAAAAGGGACTTAAGAGATAATGGAATTTTTCTACAAACTGTGAGGACTCTTTTGGATATATAAGATAAAACTGAAGTACAAAAAGGAAAAACCACAAAAACTTATAACGATCTTACCTTAAAGCCTGCTTGCTTAAGAAAGTGACCAAGTTTTCCAGTAATCTCTTGAAACCTTTCTTGTTGCCAATTAACCTGATAAAGACCCAATTTAGTCTTTAAAATTTGTTTCAAAACATATACAAATTTCAAATTTCTACAACAAAATATAAACCCAAACTATAAAATATAAGCCTAAAGTTGATTAATAAAAGTATTTACTGAAATTAAAATTCAGAAAATCATATCTTACTAATAATGTATTCTAACGGCATATTTTCCTGCAACAGGAAGCCTAGAAAGATTCCAATAAATACAGAAATTTTTTATCTATACTAAGAGTGACTTTGTGGGAAAAGGGCACACAATTTACAAAACTGTGCTTGGATCCACTAGTGGAATAAAACAAAGCTATTAACACTACCCCACTCAGAAACAACAAAAACAAAGAGATTTAAAGCACAGGTGCAATAGAACTACATGTATGCTGTAATATTAGATCAGAAGTGGACTAATGTCTGCAGCTTACTTTGAAATATATCCCGGAATAATATGGATTGAAGACAAAGGATTAGATAGATACACAAGTAACCAAGCATTTGGAGAAAATATAACAAGTAGAATCTTAGCAGTAGATCTAATTGTTGTTGTTGAGTACCGTGGAGTCAGTTAGGACTCATAGCAACCCTGCACTGGGTTTCCAAGGCTGTAAATCTTTACGGGAGCAGAAAGCCTCATCTTTCTCCCGCAGAACAGCTGGTAGTTTCGAACTGCTGAACTTGAGGTTTTAGCAGCCCAATTCGAAGTCACTAAACTACCATATCTAATATGAGTGTTTATTCTTTAAATATTTCTTTATGTCCAAAAAGTTCCATGCTACAATGCTGGGCAAAACTAAAAAGTGTATGTAATAATAATATAATAAAATAACTCACAGAAAATGTAGATAAATATTTATCTGATTTTAGGGTAAGAAAATCCTAAGCATAAAGGAAGAAATTACAAACAAAATATTTATAAAGTTAAATATATGTGAAAAACACACCATAAATAAAATGAAATGTCAAATAACAAATTGGGAAAAGGATGGATAATGAATTACCATCTTTAATAAAGTCCTTAAAAAATAATTGTTTTAAAGTTTCAAAAACGAGCAAATTACATAAGTAATACCCAGAGAAGAAATACAAATAATTAATCAATATATAAATATGTTTACATACTACTAGTATTAATGAAAGAGTAAACTCAAAAATGTTTCGCATATCAAATTATGAAATAATGTTTTAATGATATTAGTATTGGTAAGATTTTGAGAAAGCAGACACATCACATGTGTTGAGTTAAAAAACAGAACTTTTCTCAAAAAGCCGTGAAAATTTTTATGGTATCAGTAAATCTTAGTGTCTATGACTTTAAAGCAAAAAATCAGAATAAACCATACTCTAAACCATTCCTAAGCACACAAACACACACTCACAAGAAATAACTAAAACTGTTCACAAGTTGTTGTTGTTGTGAAGTGCCCATTGAGTCCGTTACGACTCATAGCAACCCTATTCTATAGGATTTCTGAGGAGACGCTGGTGAGCTTGAACCACAGTCCTTGTGATTCAAACCAACCTTGCAGTCCAGCGCATTAACTCACAGCGCAATAGCAGGACTCCAAGTTGTTGTTGTTAAGTGCTGTCGAGTCGGTTCCGACCCGTAGCGACCCTGTATAGGGTTTCCAAGGAGCAGCTGGTGAGCTTGAACCACTGACCTTGCAGTTCAAACAGCTTTGCAGTCTGGCATATTAACCCACAGTGCCAAACTAGGACTCCAAGTAGGGGCTAATAATTCAGTTTATTTTTTAAATACACTACAATAAAGCCACAAAAACTTCTTTGTACAAGAATCACTTATTACTTGGAAACATTCACAATAATATTTTGGCATTTGTTTGAAAAGAAGATAACATAAACTATAACTAAATCTGAAACACATTTTTACGTAGAAAATAAGCTGATAGATATACAAAAGGCAATGCTAAAACATTTTTTGAGGAGTTGTTTTTGTTGTTGTTAAGTGCCGTCGTAGGAAATATATATTATTTCTAATTTTTAAAATACTTGATTTTACTACAATGCTGATGTAAAGTGTCATAGAGTCAATTCCAACTCACAGTGACCCTGTACAGGATTTCCAAGGGGCAACTGGTGGGTTTGAACTACCAGTCTGTGGTTAACAGTCCAATGCTGATTATCCTATAATTCAAAATAATTTCAAAGTTTTCTTTATTTACCCTGACAATGAAAGTCATCATCTTGCTTAAAAATTAATATATCTCTTGCCTAAAAATTAATATATCGTCTTGCTTAAAAATTAATTTATCTCATTTAATATATCCGGATTATGAATATTTTTTTTTAATATGGCAAATAAACTAATAAAATGTGCACTCATCACATCTGAGGTGACCTACATGGACAGAGAAACATCTTTAATAGCAATTAAACAGAATTCCCATAAATCCCTGAAATACCTGATCCATTTTATTGATTGCAACTGCAAGTTGTGTCACTCCCAGAGAACGGACTAAGAGGCCATGTTCTCGCGTCTGTCCTCCAGTCTCAAATCCGGCTTCAAACTCTCCCCTACTAGCATCCACAACTAAAACAGCTACATCCGCCTAAGGAAGAAAAGAAAATATATTAAACTCAAAATAATCAAAGGATGGGTTCTTCAATTAATTGGACCAGTCATAATTCTTAAACAGACATTAGACACCAGAAACAAATCAAATCAAAGGACTCCACAGATGGATTAACACTTTTTAAAAAAATTAAAAGTACTAGCACAAGTGCCACTTGTCTGTCAAACTGTCGTTATGTGCTGGCTCCCACGCTGTTGTGTGACCCTGGAAACTCTGCCATGGGCATTTCAAATCCAGCAGGTTACACCTACGGTAGGCAATTTTGAGCGGAGCTGCCACACTAACACAGACTAGCAAGAAGGACCTGTGACGTACTTTTGGAAAAACATGGCCAATGAAAAATGGCAGTGGAGCACTGTCTGATCTAATGCTGGAAGGTGAGTCCCTCAGGCTGGAATGCACCTCATCGGATAGTCAGCTTGAAGGAAGTGGATGCAGTAAAGCTTTCAGGACCTTCATTTGCCGATGGGGCACAACTCAAAATGTGAGGAAACAGTTGTAAACATCTATTAATTGGAACATGGAATGTATAAAGTTTGAATCTATGAAAACTAGACACTGTCAAAATGAAAATATATACATATACAGATCAATATTCTATGTATTAATGAGCTGAAATGGGCTGCTATTTGTCATCGTGATTAAAACAGTTACATGGTCTACTATGTCTGGAAATAAAAATTGAAAAGGAATGCCATCTCATTCATAGTCAAATAAAAACTCTTCAAGATCTATCCTGAAATATGACAATGTCAGTTATAGGATAATATCCATCTAACTACAAGGAAGACAAGTTAATACCTCTATTATTCAAATTTACACACCAAACACTTCTGCCAAAGATGAAGAAACTAAAGATTTTCATCAACTTTTGCAGCCTGAAACTAATTAAACATGTAATCAAGATACATTGACAATCACTGGTGACTAGAAAGTGAAAGTTTGAAACAACCAATAAGGAACAGCAGTTGGAAAATAAAATAACACCAGAAACTGCATGCTAAAGTTTTGCAAGACCATCCATCCACTTATTCACTGCAAATGTTATTGTTGGTAAGTGCTGTTGAGTCGGTTCTGACCCATAGTGACCCTTCATAGGGTTTCCTAGGAGCTGCTGGTGAGCCTGAACCACTGACCTTGCGATTCAAATCGACTTTGTAGTCCAGCGCATTAACCCACAAATACCCGTTCTCAGAAACAGAAACAGCGACTATACATGCGGACCTCACCAAATAAAATATTCAGAAATTAAATTTCCTCTATCTATGGAAACAGACAATGGCAAAGTTCAGTATCATCAGTCAGAACAAGTACAGGCACCAGCTGTGAAACAGACCATTAATGGATCATATGCAAATTCAAGTTGAAGCAGAAGAAACTGAAGTTCACCAGGGCCAAAATACGACCTTGAGTATATTGTTGACAAGTGCCATCTAGTCAACTCCAGCTCACAGCGGCCAAGCATAGGGTTTGCCAGGAAAGGCTGGTGGATTTGAACTGCTGGCCTCGTGGTTTGCAGTAGGTGCTTATCCTACAGCACAATACCAGAATTCCTTGAGTATATCTCACTTGTACTTAGAGACCATCTCAAAATAGATTTGATGCAGTGAACCTCTTTGACAAGTTTTAGGATGACATGAAGGATATCCCACATGAAGAAAACAGGTTGGTCATTAATAAGTCAGGAAAGAAAGATAAATATGGGTGTCAGAAGAGTCTCTGAAACCTGCTCTTGAATGTAGAGCAGCTAAAGCAAACAAAAGAAATAATAACATAAATGAGCTGAGCAGAAGATTTCCAAGTGTGACTCAAGAGCTAAAGAGAATGGGAGAAACGATGCATAAAAGAGCTAGATAAAAGATTTCAAAGGGTGGTTCAAGAAGACAAAGTATTTATAATGAAATGTACCAAGACTGGGAGTTAGAAAACTAAAATGGAAGAACATACTCAGCATTTCTTGAGCTTAAAGAACATAAGAAAAAATTCAAGCCTTGGAATCTATCAGCAAAACAATGAATGATACGGGAAGCATCAAAATAAGATAGACTACAGAGTCACTATATCAAAAAGAACTGGTCAACCGTCAACCAATTCAAGAAGTAGCATATGATCAAGATCTGCTAGGACTAAAAAAAGAAGTTCAATATACACAGAACGTATTGGTGAAAAGCGATTCATGAATTGACAAAACCCCAACTGAGATGTTTCAACAAATGGGTACCATGCTGGAGGTACTCACTTGTCTGTGTCAAGAAATTTGGAAGCCAGCTACCTCGCTTACTGACTGGAAGAGATACGTATTTGTGCCCACTCCAAACAAAAGTGATCCAAAAGAATGTGGAATTTATTGAACAATATCATTAATATCATACACAGTAAGATTTTACTGAATAATTGCAGCAGTACAGTAACAAGGAACTGCCTGAAATTTAAACCAGATTCCAAACAGGACATGGAATGAGGGATATCACTGCTGATGTAAGGTGGATCTTGGCTGAAAGCAGGGAATACCAGAAAGATGTTTACCTGTTTTCTTGGCTATGCAAAGGCATTTGACTGTGTATAGCATAACAATTATGAAAAACACTGCAAAGAATGGCAACTCCAGAAGATTTAATTGTGATCATGCAGAACCTGTATATAGACTAAGAAACAGTGATTCAAACAGAGCAAGGAGACACTGGTTCATTTATAATCAGGAAGGTGTGTGTCAGGGTTGAATACTTTCATCAAACTTGTTCAGTCTGTATGCTAAGCAAATAATCTGAGAAGCATACTATATGAAGAAGGATGAGGCATTAGGATTAGAGGAAGAGTTATTAACCACTTGCAATATGCAGATGATACAACCTTGCTTGCTGAAAGTGAAATAGACTGATGAAGACTAAAAGACTACAGCCTTCAGTACAGAGTACACCTCAACATAAAAATAAACAAAAATCTTCGCAACTGGACCAATATACAACATCATGATAAACAGAAAATACTGAACTTGTCAAAGATTTCATTTTACTTGGATCCACAATCAATGCTAATACAAGCAGCTGTCAAGAAATTACACTGGGAAAATTTGCTACAAAAGATCTCTTTTAAAGTGTTAAAAAGCAAAGATGCCACCTTGCAGACTAAGGTGTGCATGACCCAAGCTTTGGTATTATCAATTGTTGCATATACATGTGAGAACTAGGCAATGAATACGAAACAACACAGAATTGATACCTTTGAATTATGATATTTACAATAAAATACTAAATATGCCACAAACTTCCAAAGAAAGAACAAATCTACCTTAGAAGAAGTTCAGCCAGAAGGCTTCCTAGAAACAAGCAAGGCAAAATTTCATTTCCCATACTTTGGCTCTGGCATCAAGGGGACCAGTCCCCAGAAAAGGACATCTTACTTGACAATGTAAAGGGTCAGAAAAAAGAGGAAGACACCTGTAAGAATTAAGGTTTTGTATTAACTTGGCTAGGCTTGAATCCTCAGTGGTTTGCCAGTTAAGAGGTAGCAATTCCCCAAGATGGTAACTAATATATGTAATCACTCGCATGATGTAATCTGATGTGATCAGCTCGGCTCTGAAGCAATCCTATGTGGTAAATCCTTGCTTCTAAGATGTTAATAAGGCCAGATACCACTTAGGGGGTTAGGCTGTATCTTGATTCAATCCCTTTTAATATACTGTTAAGTACCTCGGTCAAGTCAATTCTGACCCATAGCGACCCTGTATAGGGTTTCCGAGGAGCAGCTGGTGAGCTTGAACTGTCGATCTTGCAGTTCAAATGGCTTTGCAGTCTGGCTCATTAACCCACCACAAAAGAGATTAAATATAAACATTATATAACGTAATATATAATGTATAAAAATAGATTCATATATATAAAAGAGATTAAGTTGGTAAGTCGTGCTGGACCTACCACCACCAAGAAAGAAAAGCTGGGAGATGAGTGCTTCTTTTAGACCTGAGGTCCTTACACTATGAACTCCTAGATCCAGGAAAAGATTGATGTCAAAACACACAGAGATCTCTACAGAATGGGTCTACCTACAGATACTGAAAGGAAATCAGGACCTTTCGCCAGAGTCATAGCTCTGAATTCGGACTTCTACCCTCCTAAACTGGGAGAGAATACATTCATTTGCTAAAGCCATCCACTTGTAGCATTTCGGTTACAGCAGCACTAGATCACTAAGACCCAGTGGCAACGACTGTGAGGCTGGCGAAGGACAGGCGGAACTGACTTGGACACCCAATAATAACAACTACCTCATAGAGCTGTTATAAGGATTGGATTAAATACATATGAAGCAACTGTTGTTGTTGTGTGCCACTGAGTCGATTTTGACTCATAGAGACCCAGTATATGATTTCCACGGCGGTACATCTTTATAGAAGCAGAAAGCCTTATCTTTCTCTAGCAGAGCAGCGAGCAGATTCCAGCTGCTGGCCTTAGGGTTAGCAGGGCAACGAATAACTCGTATGCCACCAGTATACCTAGTCCATACTAGGTGCTTAGTCAACAGTAATCATGATTACTTTTCAATCTTTATCCTCATTCAGTCCATGAATTTAAAAATGATATTGTAAGACTATATAGGAACTTTCTATATGGAACCAAACAATTTATGCTTTATCTTACATACTAAGCTTTTAAGATTGACAAATATTAACACTAGTATACTTTTAGGCAGGTTTTTAGGTCTCACTTTTCCCAATAATCGCTCATTACAAAGAAAATCAGTATTCTATATTTGAAGCACTATTTTCATTGTTTGAATTATTTAATGTCATCAACCTTTTTTTTTTTTTTTTACTAAATATATATGTAGGTTTATAAATTGCCACTGTCATTGGTTTTTTGGTTTTTTTTAATGTTTTATTGTGAATTATGTGATAGTTTGCATGGGAGAACATTAGTTTTACATTCATCCATGGATTGCCATGGTTACAATCCCCTACATACATCATCAACCAACCAAAGGGTATACCCTACAAGCCTTACGTCCCCTCTCCCCCGCAACCCCCGTCAGCACACAGCCCCTCTCCCTCTCTGGGTCTAAAGTCCCCAGCTGCTCCATCTCTCCATGTCATCATCTCTGCCTCCATCTCTGGTGTCACTGCTTCTCTGGGTAGGGTCCCGCTCTCTCCTCTTTTCCCTTTGATGGTACCAGGGACCTCTGCTTCTAAACTGCAAAGTTAATCACTCCCCTCCTTGCTACAAAATGTCTACCTGTACATTTCCAACCCTCACAATCAGTCCTGATAACAATTATTCACTATTGTATCACAAGAGACCTATCCACATTTCCTCTCATCAGCCCCGCCTAGACAGACTGGATACTACTCAGTGGAGATGCTACCTTCCTCCACGCCCTCTGGATCTAGGTTCCCTCTTTGTCATTGGTTTTTAATCATAAGAAAAAAAAGTGAACCACAGTATAGAAAAGCAAAAGCTTCACTATTTCTGCACATACTTGAAAATAACTAGAACTTAATATAACAAAGAGTGAATAATTATATAGTATGTATATAGTAAAGAGTGATAGTAAAGAGTCCAAACTATATACAGTAAAAATTCACTCTTTACTTATATATTAAAGAGTAAATCTTAAAGAGTCCAAACTATAAATACAAGAAACATAAAACTATATCTCATGAAGCACCCTAACATTATTTTTACTATAAAAAAATTCATAGCGTTTATATATTTGCTTCTTTATAGTAATTCAGAAAAGGTTTTATAAAGTATAGATAAAGAGATCATGCAGAATACAAATTATTCTCTATTTTTTCACGCTTTATATTTTAAAGGCTTAAATCCCAGAATTAAACATTCAAGAAACTTTATGTAGAATTGGTATACTCGAGTGAAGGAAATAGCTGGTACCTGGGCTGCTCCTGTAATCATGTTGGGAATGAAATCCTTATGGCCTGGAGCATCCATTAATGTAATAATTTTGGTTTTGGTTTCAAACTTTGTCATACCAACATCCATTGTTACTCCCCTTAAACAAAACATAAAGCGATTAGGATACCCTATATAATCAGTGTACTGGATTAAATAATAAGCAAAATAACCCTCCAAATCCTTATGTAACAATTCTACACAGATTCTTACTTTTGCTAATTAGCTACCAATTAGTGCTGAAATGTTGGCTGCAATAGTTACACCTGTATGACTTTAAAACAATGTTGTGAATACAAGAGCTTAATTTAAAAAAAGAAGAAGTTATTACTGCATGCCCATGCTTCGATAGTGCAAAAACTTTTAAGAGAATATGTGGAAATCTATGTAGGAAGGAAAATAAATACTGCAGATGAGAAAGGATTACTTTAAGAATGACCATCAGACAACATTGTCTTCATTTTCTATTGTTTATGTTTCATCAATTATAGAAATATAAAACTTTCAGTTTACAAGGCTAGTCAGTATACTACACATTTTTTTTTTTTAAAGGAGGCATTAAAGAAGATGCTCAATGGAAACAATAGAGAGGTGAACCAGAGTTCACTTTATGCCCCATGTCATCCTTCCTGGAGATTCATCACTGCCTCTACACAGACACAAAGATCTAGATTCCTATGAAAAGAATACTCCAGGAAAATCTAGAAGAGTGCTGAGCCATTCTAGAGCTCAGTACTTTCAAAGGAGAAATGAGATGGACAATAGGTAATCAATCATGCTAGTATGTCCAGAGTAGTCCAGCATAGGAAGTTAGATGTCTATCCCACCAGTAAGGTAATTGTGGGTCTACTTAGTTATGCCATTCTAATTTAATTTGAAAGTACTGAACATTTCTTGCAAAGTGATGTTTAATTTTTTTCCATATCCACAAATAATCTAGGATCCACGAGCACCTTCCAAATAGTGATGAAAAAAGTCTTACACAGAACCTGTCCTAGAATACTTTGACCAGAATGTACCTTTGGATCAGTTCTAGTCTGAATCTATAACCCTATAACATGAAAATGTCACTTCATTTTAGTAATTTCTGCTTCTTAACACTTGCAGAGTGAGTTATATGGATAACCCAGTGGAATAAATAACACTAATTATATTTTTGAAATGCGATTAAGGGTACTTAACGGTGATTTTAAATTCCCACTATGTATCTGGAAGCTTCTGCTGTCAGAAGACTAAATGAATATTCTAAAAACTATATTATGCAGAACAGCAACAAACATGAAAACCAGCAGATATACTATCAAAAATACCACAATGACTGATACATCTAGAAATCAGATTACTAGTCCACTTACCAGTTCAACTAATACTAAGAAAAGTTAAACAAGTCATTCTAACGGAAATGATTCTGGCCCCGATTTCTGTACCTATGTACAAGAATGATGCAAAGAAAACTACAAAAGCAACATATTTTTAAAAATTGCTTTTTAAAATATGTTACGTGCCATCGAGTCGGTTCCAACTCATGGCAACCCTATATAGGGTTTCCAAGAAGCAGCTGGAGGATTGGAACCACCAACCTTGCAGTCCAGTGCTTATTATGATAAAATGCAGGTGAAGATTATTCCGGCTGTTAATTATGATATCTTACACGATTCCACTGTTTTCCAAACAGTGGCAACTGTGCAGCTAGCTTGCTCACTATGCTGGAAAACCAAAAAAGCTAAGGAATATTAAAACCTGCTTTACTGAGAACTACTTTATATATTACAAGTGGACTGTCTATAGTTGTAAGAAAATAAATATACACAAAAAAAGATGTATGAAAATCTAGATACATTCTCCACTTACGTAAGGTCCTTAAAAAGATTCTCATAGGACTTTGGAGTTATTATTTTGACACAGCCACTGATATATCTGCCACTTAATTTGTAAGGTGTCCACTTTTCTGATAAAGGTGCCATTGGTTCCCCCATCCCAAACAGCACAACCACCATATATATACACGTACTACTCTAAAAATATTTCAAAAGTTATTATGTAAGTAGCTTTGGACAGAATTATATAAGCAGCTACAGTCTCCAACTGGAATTCCTGTGAAATTGACATTAATCACAGGAACAGACACCGGAGTCACATGATGGGTAAATCTATAGTAAGTAGTTATGTGCCGTGGAGTCGGGTCCGACTCATAGTGACCCTGTACAGGGTTTCCGAGGCTGTTAATCTTTACAGGAGCAGAAAGCCTCATCTTTCTCCGGTGGGACAGCTGGTAGTTTCGAACTGCTGACCTTAAGGTTCTCAGCCCAATTCATAACCACTACGCTGCCAGAGCTCCTTGGGGTAAATCTATAGGAAAGGTCTAAATTACTTTTGTATGGATTCTGTCTCATAGTACAAAAGTATAAAAATGTCTTAAATAAAAGTAATTTGTATTTTCTGATCAATTTTATTTTATACAGGTAAGAGTGTAACACAAAGATTTACCTTTTCTTTATAACTTGATGTAAAATTCAGAGTGTTATTCACAAGACTCAAACTCAAGACAATTCAGTATATATTTAGGAAAAACTGATATGTCCTCCAAAAAATGATCAGTCTAGGAATTTTGACTGCTTTTTATTCTGTGTGCAGCCCTTTCTTTTTAAAACAACCTTCTTTTAAACTATTCTCACTGAATTTTGAAGATTAAACACATACACAGATTATAATGAAAAATACATCAAAAACTTTCTCTGATAATTAGAGGTTTTTCCCACAAACATTCAGTCTCTAAAATATTTCATGGTACGTTTTATACCTATTCAACATGTCACATATTTATATCAAATGATTACATGTCATTTCAAGCTGAAAATTGTGAAATATGGTGACTACCTTTCCCTTTCTTCTCCAGTCTCATCCAAGACCCATGCATATGCAAACGAGGCTTTGCCAGCCTTTTTAGACTCTTGTTCGTACTTGTGCATGGTTCTCTTGTTTACATTGCCCAGAAGATACAGCATATGGCCCATCAGTGTACTTTTCCCAGCATCAACATGACCTAAGGAAAGTGGATTCAGGATTAACACTAGGTACATTTTTCAGATGTTGTGGATATTGAGGCACTGCATGAATGTTTAATTCAATAGTTCGTGTCGATATTTAGTAAATACCAATTTTTATTAAATGCAGTTAAGGTATCTATATATAGAATAAAAGGCCATGTCTCCTGTGAGAGGGGGAAAACTCCCCTGCTTTTTGGAAATTAAAACTGTCACCAAGACACACCAGCTTCAAAATGCTCACAAAGTGAAGATGCCACAATCAAGTCTAGTGAGTGCCTTGGTAACTTGGCAGTATTTAACCCGGGGGAGATGTGGAAGGGATGACTAGAGAGCATTATGATGCAATGCCTCCTTCCTTGCTTTATATTATACCCAGACAGACACTCAGAGTGGAACCCGTTTCCTTCCTGTGGCTAGAAAGCTGTCAGACCTAGTGTAGAGCTGACTGGCAATCCAGAGCAACAAAGGGCATTACCAATGACCACTAAGTTGAGGAGCTGCTTCCCCCCTTGGCGATTCTCCAGTTCTGCTTTCACATCTATCTTCTGCCTCACTTTGCTAGACTTTTTCACTGGCGTTGGTGCTGAACTCTGTTCTTCAGATGCATGAATGGTGTGGGCTGGAAGAGGTGATTTAGAAACAGTGTCAAGAGCATCAGAAGCAGCAATGCTGACATCTTCACTGGGAAGTCCTCTCTGAGGTGTGTGGAAACTATGACCATTGTCTTCCGCAGTTAGTCTACAGAAAGTAAAGACAAGAAAAAAAATGTTTTAAACATCTCAACTGAACTCTAAAAAATGTTACAAAGGCAGAGAAGTTGTCTCTTCAAATTCCTTTACTCTCCAAACCCAAAGTGATCTCTGATAAGTGGCCAGAGTCTGTTAAGGTGGAAATGATAAGTGGCTACACCCAAACCACACGAACACACATATGGAAGATCCCAGGAGAAAAACAGTCTACCAAAAATTGAGATAAGAAGAAAATATCCTGTAAAATAACTGAAACTCAAAGTCTAAGCCTATCTCCTTGGCTATATAATTTTATCATAAACAGAAGGCATAAAGGAAATACTTTGTGAAAAGTGCCACCAAATACATTCCAGGAAATAAACTAGTATTAAAAACCTGTTTTTCCCCCAACTCACTCATCCAACAACAAAGACTTGTGATCTTTCTTTCTTCTTGGTGGAACCACTGTTTACTTTTATTGAGAATTGAGTGAAGGTTCACAGGACAGATAATCAGTTTTACATTCGATGAATTATTATAATGATTACAATCTCCTCCTTGCACCATCAGCTAACAGTATTTACCTCTGTTATCTTTCTTTTTTTGGATGTACACATACTACAATGAAAATATATATTTGTTTAAATATCCAAAGGGCACGTTTTGCAAGCCAGCCTCCTGCCTGCAGGCAAACTGCCTTTCTTAGTCCGTGGGCCTAGAGTCCTCTGCTGCTCTATCTCTCTATGCCATCTCCTCTGCCACCATCTCTGTTGTCACTGCTTTTCTGGATAGGATCCCTCGCTCCTCACACTCTACCCTCAAGATGGTCCTAGAGGCTTCTGGTTCCTGAAATGACTGTTCTTAAAGCTGCAACCACTATTCTTAAAGCAGGCAGCTCTAATTGGCTATAGTTTCTTAATACTTTCAGAAGAGGAGTTTTAAGTCATTAATTTAACAAATTATAATTTACAAAAAAAAACAACATGCACTGCATATTGAGAAGAAGAGAAGGGAAAAAAACTAAGCCATCATCATGCTTAGAAAAAGCCAACAATCTAGTGAGGAATGCAGGTATGTAGACTAGAAGCAAGACTAGCCAGCTTAATTTACTCTCTCTTTGACAAGGCAGCGGTTCTAACAGTAAACACCCATACTAGTTCTTTAGTTAGTGCTGAATATTCCCACAGAAATTAGTACTAGTACTACCCCCACTGAAACTTAGAAAGTGCCATCAATCAAACTGTCACATGCTTTATATTTCCTTCAACAGTTGTAGATAAACAGAATTAGGAGAAAGTAAGCTAAATGACAAGTTATGAATAATGAAGTCAATTATACTGAACTCCATATGGAGTTGGCAGAGAACCACACATAAAGCAATCTGTACTAAAGAGTTAAGCCGCAGCACAGTGGAAATGCATACACTGGCCCTTCACTGTATGCTTCAGCAAAGGGTCAGACTAGTTCTATTTCTTCATTCAAACCCTTATATCCGTATCCATCTAATCTTTGAAAATCTCCATTAATTTTAGTATTCATTTTTTTAAAACTATGTAAACATATTACGTCTATGTTGAATTACTGGGAGAAAAATACTAGAAAAATGTTCCCTTTCTTTTAAAGAATTCCGACAGACTTAGAATTAAGCCAAGTTAAATGTAAAAACATTGATTTGAAACACCACACACTAGCGACAATCTGCATTTCAAGGAGTAAATAAAATACACATTTCAATAAAAGTCTTCTACCAAAATGACTAGGCATAGGCTATGATCCAATCTGGGAGAAATCAAATATTTGTTTATTCTGGCAACAGAATCTTTTCCCCAGTGGAAAGTTGATGTTAAATCCAATATGAAAAATAGATCGAATCAGAAGTGTCCTGGGTGACAGCGCTCAGTCACCAATCGAGGCAGCCCTGCAGAAGGGCTACTCAGGATAGCAAGTGCTTCACAAAGCAGGTCTGAGTTTTTCATTTCAGTCAGAATTCAATAGCATAAAAGGTTTCCTTGTTTTCATGATAACAGTCCCCCTTCAACTAAATCAAGCAGGAAACAGACAAAAAACCTTTCTGTAAATGTGAATGCTTCTTCATAAAACTACAGACTTAGGCTTTCTTCTTGAATTATTTATGATACTTGGAAGCTAATAATTCAGGTTTAAGAGGTGAAATGCAGAGTACCTGTTCTCTGTGCACTGGTCTATCCCTTTTTATGTGCATGCATTTATTTATCATTCTTAAAATTAGTATAGAAAAAGTTTGCTGAACCCATAATTATAGACCTTTCATATTTGGTGACCTCTCCCAAAGGGCCACATCAAGATACTGATTCATAAGCTGTATTTTTTGCATTAAAATAGTTTCTAAAGATTTTTAAAATAAAACATATTTCCCCAAAGACACTGATCAGTAGTTATTTAAATAACTACCCAGTGAGAAGACTAGTAAAATGGGCATAAATGGTCCCTTGTCTTCATGAAGCAAGCAATCTGTCTAACCAAATTCTCAAAGGCTTGCACTGCACTTGCAAAGTGGAAAGCTGGATTTCAAAGCATTATTTATTTGTATTTATTATTTATTTATATTTCTTGATCATTTGTTGCATAGTATTTTCATATTATAAACAGCCATGTATTCATTTATAATACAGAATATCAACTAATGACATTTCTATATTAAGATCATGAGCTCCTTAGAATAAAAAATCGTGTACTTTATTTACTTTTCTTTCTCTCAATGGAAAAAATCCAACAGTATGATAAAATGGCACATAAGACTAGGGATAAAAAATACATTTATAATTGCAATAACCCAGTATCAATTCAGAGAGAGAGAAATATACATATTAGAAATGTTGCTGAAGTGTCGTTGACTCAGTTCCAACTCTTAGCAACCCAGTATAAGGTTTTGAAGAGCAGCTGGTGGGTGTGAACCATGGACCTTGTGGTGACAGTCCAGTGCTGATCCTACAGCATAAAACTAGTTCATCACTAAAGTTCTTCCTAACCAAGATTTAGGACGTATCTACTAATTTAGATAAATACTTCTTGATTAAAAAATAACACAAAACCCTACTGTGTATATATATGATAATAGTGTTACTGGCAGGCAAAATATATACAATTTCTAGGATACAGATTTAGGGAACAAACAAAAAATTTTAAAGAGATTAAAATTTAATGTTTCAATTGTACTTTTATTTTAAGCCTCAAGCAACCCATTTCCATTTATCTCTTTAACACTCCAGGAAAATCTTTAGAAACTGCAATAAGAAAGAAAATAAGCACCATGCACTGGACAGCAAGATTGGTTTGAATCGCATGGTCGACAGTCCAGTCTGCCAGTCGCTCCTTAGAGACCCTAGACATCATTGCTATGAGTCGGAACCAACTCAACGGCACTTAACAACAACAACATTATTATCTATTACTATTTTTCCCTAGATGTTTGAAATTTTATGTGTTGTCATTTTATTTGTTATGTCGGTTAGATCAGTTTTATTCAATATGGAAAATTTCAAAGAGAGCATTTCAATTATTAAAATATTTTTTCAATGATCCCAACAGTAATAATCCCATGATTCACTCACAAGTAACTACTAAACCCTTTTTACCTAGTTTAATAGGATAAACCTAATAGAAAAAAAGTTTAGCACTAAATGTCGTAAATGTTTTTATGTCATGTCATTTAATCCATGTGCAGAAACTGACAATGAAACACATTAAGTGACATGCACTGCTACAATTAGGCTGAAACGTAAAACTTTTGTACAAGTTAACAGGAGACAATGAAGTCCTGGTATGGCACTGTAGGATAAGCAGTGGACTGGTAACCATAAGGGTGTCGGTTCAAACTCACCAGCTGCTCCTCAGAAATCGTATACAGTGTCACTCTGAGTCAGGAGTGAACCCATAGCACTTAATGACAATGGAAGACAATAGTTGTTTTAAAAAATTCGAACTTTTAAAATCTTACCCAGGAACTTCAAATCCCATAGTTTGCTTCTTTCCAGATACAGTCATTTTAGCAACTTTTGGCACAATTTCAGAATCACTTCGAGATGACTGGGAGTCTACTGATTTTCCTAATGAAATAAAATACAAAAGGCTAATTCTTTAAAAACAAATTACTAGAAATCCACATACAAGTTATATATTATAAAAGTACAGGTTCTGATAATTAAGCTTCACAGAATTACGCCTTTATAAAAACATCTAGTGAAATATTAAAATGCTGTAAGAAATTCTTCTACCACCCTATTCTGGGAAATCCCCTACTGTCTGGACTCTCCTATGCTCAACCTCTAGCAAATCTCTTCCTAATTCTGAAGTGACTAGTGAGTTTCAGTATTAAGAGCTCACCAGGTGGTTTCTACACTGAGCCATGCTCTGATATTATACCTAGACTGCACCTCCCTCTCACATCACACCCTTTTCTCAACACTAAGATGAGTTGGTCAGTTAGCAGATGGCTACACTATTTTTAATCTTGTAATACCTACAAACTGATGAGCAAGTTGAAAGTCTGCTGAATTGTGCTTGAACAATGCATATTAATTTATTTGTATGCAATCTTAGAAAGATCTTTGACATGTACAAAAAACACTGTGAAAGAAATCCATGTAGGAAAAGTGAATTAAAAACACAGGAGTAAATTATCAGCTAGATCACAGTAACACTTTCATGTATTGATCCTTTAAGGACTAAAACTGCTTATACAAGTATGTATAAATTAGGTGGTGCAATGGTGTGGCACTGTGGGTTAATACACCAGAATGCAAAGTCATTTGAACTGCAAGGTTGGCAGTTCAAGCTCACCAGGAAACCTTATACAGGGTCGCAAAGGGTCGGAACCGACTCGACGGCACTTCACAACAACAGTATAGAGTATATCATGGAACTAGTATACAGACCATTCCAATCAGGGCCACAATAGATGAACTTTGATAAAGTGGAAGAAAAACATGGTACAGAACGCCAATTCATTAAAAAAACAAAAACAAAGTAACTGGACCATTTGAGACTAGAGGACTCCCTAAGATATTCTTTAAACTTTGAACTGAAATTATCTGCTGGTCTTTTGATAGGAATAACAGTTAGGAACACAAAATACAAGATGTTACCAGTGTACAGTGTGCTCCACAAAACATGAGACAAAAAAGTTAATAGACCTACACCTATGGAAGCAGTAGCTCAAATGAGGGAACAAATTCTTACAAGAATCATTCCTACCCCCTCCACACACAGAGTAGACAGGGATGGGCAACTTGGACATTGGCTTCCCAAAATGGGGAGGGGGAGATACAAAGGCGAGAAGTGACTGGCTTACAAGCTTTCAAGAGGGAACCTAGAGCCAGGGGGCCTGGAGGAAGGCAGAATCTCCAGTGAGTAGTATCCAATCTGCCTAGACGGAGCTGATGAAATGAAACACAGATGGGTCTCTTGTGATACAATAGTGAATAATTGTTATCAGGACTGATTGTGAAGGTTGGAAATGTAAAGGTAGACATTTTATAGCAAGGAAGGGAGGGAATAACTTTTCAGTCTAGGAGCGGAGGTCCCTAGGACCATCAACGGAGAAGAGGCGAGAGCGGGAACCTACCCAGAGAAGCAGTGATGCCCAAGATGGAGGCAGAGACAATGACATGGAGCAATGGAGCAGCTGGGGACTTTAGATCCAGAGAGGGAGAGACTGTGTGCTGAAGACTAGGGGGTGGGGGTGGGGCGGGGATAGTGTAGGGGCAGGCTTGCAGGGTATACCCTTTGGTTGGTTGATGATGCATGGAGGGGATTGTAACCATAGTAATGATAGGATGTACGATAGAATGAATGTAAAACTAATGTTCTCCCATGTAAACTATCATATAATTCACAATAAAACACTTTTAAAAAAAAGGTTAATAGTTACTCACTCGAAGGCAAATATGAGAAGGGGGCAGGGAACCAAAAGCACTGGAAATGGAGTAGTAACTAGAAGACAATTAAAGAGAATTCTGACATGTTATGGAAATGAAGCTAATGTCACTGAACAATTTGTATAGAAAATGTCAAATGGGAATGCAATTTGCTGTGTAAATTTCTACCAAAAACACAATAAAATATTTTATTAAAGACAGGCTGTTTATTGTGGGGTTGTTATACCACAAAAGAAAATGAAAATCTGTTTCAATAAAGGTAAGGTTAAAAATACTATACATTTAGACAATGGAATATTGTCCTACAATTATAGAAGCAGTAGGCCTACATGCATGAAAAAACACTGTGGCCCATTATAATGGGGAAAACAATCCCATTACTATACAGAGATGACCCTAGAGTGTTATTAGCATTAAGAAGTCCAGAAGAATGAATTTTAAAATTATTTCTAGGAAAGAAAGAGGGGAGTTGGCAACAGTTATTCATTTTAGACTTCTATATTACAATTATATTTTTATAATTAAAAATATTTTAGGTGAAAAAAATATATTTTAAAACAAATGATTTCAAAACATTAATAATGTGTTTCTGTACCATCCTTCAGGGACTCTCTTGATTTTTCTTAGCTAATAATAAGGTAAAATCTACTGAATCACACAATTGGAGGACCACATTCCAAACTCTTCCCATCACTGATCTTGCACACAATGGTATTGAAAACACACACTGAGAAGTTAAAGCGTTGAGATAAAGGTACAAAGTTCCTCTAATCAATCATTCGGTGGTAACTGTACACTCAGAACAAAGGCAGTCTTGTTTTGTGTTATAACTCTCTTGTTTAGACTCTTAAGGTTCCGTGCATCTTTAGCATTTCTATTTTTCCACAAACTAAGCATTTGGTACATCATCTACACATGTTGGGTGAATAGTAGATGAATGAGTGAACAAAATAATTTCTGAGAGCACTTTCCATACTCTGGTATATTGCTAAAGAACTGATGGTGAAAACTAAATCAGAATTGTAAATGTGATTTGTCTGAATGTGTACCATCATACCAGATAAACAAAAAACACACTAACACTATCCAAAAATGCATCCTGAACTCATCAGATTCTCTAAAGCAGGCCTTCTCACACTCGGCAAAATACTGATATTTGAGGCTAGATAATCCCTTGTTAAGGAAAGAGTAGTACGATGTATACCAGCATCCCGAAAATGTCTCCAAACATTGCCAAAAATGCCTTGTGGGGCAAATTCACCTTCGGTTGAGAAGTAATCAAATGAGTTATTAGCAAAAGAATTAAATGCCTGTTAGATATAGCTAAGATCCAGCTGGTATACGCAATGGTTTCCCTATGGTCTCTTCTGAATCTGGATTGAATCCAGTAGTTTCCTCCCTATCCATGTATCTCTGTAACATTTTAAAAATTATCTTCAGTAAAATTTAACTTGTGTGTAATATTAATGCTATTATTTGATAATTTCCACATTCTGTTGGCATACTTTTTTTTTTTCTTTTTAAATGAGCACAAATATGGACCTCTTCCAGTCAGTTTGCCAGGTCCTCCAAATTTCTTGGCTAGATGAGTGAATACCTCCAGTTCTACATCTGTTTCTTGAAACATTTCAATTGTACTCATCAATTCCTAGAGTCTTGCTTTTTGTCAATGCCTCAGTACAGCTTGGGAATCTTCCTTCAATACCAGAAGTTCTTCATCATATGCTACTTTAAAAAATGGTTGAATGTCAACCAATTCTTTTTGCTAGTGATTATGTATATTCTTTCCATTTATTTTTTATACTTCCTGTGTCTTTCAATATGTTACTCTTAGAATTCTTCAATACTGCAACTTGAGGTTTTGATATTTTCTTCAGTTCTTTCAGCTTCAGAAATGTCAGGGATATCCTTCCCTTTGGAGTTTCTAACTCTAGATCTTTGCACATTTCATTATACTACCCTACTATCTTCCTAAGACATACACTGAAATCTTCTGTTTACCTCTTATACATCATTACATCTTTTTCACTTACTTTAGCTACTCTAGTTCTAGAGCAAAGGCATTTAGTTGTGTTGTTGTTGTTGTTATCAAGCGCCATTGAGTTGGTACCGACTCATAGCAACCTTATGCACAGAACAAAACACTACCAGATACTGGACCAACCTCATTACTGTTGCAATACTTGAGTCCATCGGTGCTGCCACTTGGCCAATCCAATTCGCTGGGGGGTGGGGGGGGGTGTCTTCCTCTTTTTCTCTGACCCTCCACCTTACCAAACATGATATCCTTCTCCAGTGACTGGTCCCTCTTGACAACATGTCCTAAGTATGAGAGACGGAAGTTTGGCCATCTTGGCCTCCAAGGAGCACTCTGGCTGCAATTCTTCCAAAACAGATCTATTAGTTCTTTTGATAGCCCATGGCACTTTCAATATTCTCCTCCAACATCATAACTCAAAAGCATCAATTCTTCTACAGTCTTCCTTACTCACTGTCCAGCTTTCACATGCATATGAGGTTACTGAAAATACCATAGCTTGGGTCAGGCACACCTTAGTCCTCAAGCTGACCTCTTTGCTCTTCAACACTTTAAAAAGGTCTGTGCAGCAGATTTGCCTAATGCAATACATCGTTTGATTTCTTGACTGCTGCTTCGTGATTGTTGATAGTTGATCCAAGAAGAATGAAGTCCTTGACAACTTCAATCTTTTCTCCGTTGATAAGAAATTTGGTCATGTAGATCCTAACCAATTAAAAACACTGAGAAGACTGGAAATTCCAGAACACTTAATTGTGCTCATGTGGAACCTAGGCATAGACCAAATAGAACAAGAGACTACTGGATGATTTAAAATAAATCTGAAATTGATCAAACATAAAACCAAGATGTACTGATAATTACTGCAGATTGAAATGCAAAAGTTGGAAATAAAGCATTGGAAAATATGTCTCTGGTAATAGAAATTGTGCTGGCGATTGCATGACAGTATTTTGTAACACCAATAACTTATTCGTTGCTAATACCTTTTCTAAAAATAAAAGATATCTGTAAACATGGACCTCATCAGATAGAAAAAAAGAAGTCAGACTGACTACATCTGTGGGAAGAGATGGTGGTAAAACTCGATACAATCTGCCAAAAGGCAAGAGGTAGTTTGTGGAGCAGACCA